TCCAATATGGCGGACGAATTTGTAAAAATTAACCGGATTAATTTTTAAAAATTTGTCCGCCATATTGGATTCGTCATTTTAAATTTTGAAAATCTGATTTCAGATTCGTAATCAGCGACCCCGAAAACCCCCGAGTGACAAGTTTCAAACGAATCAGGTTGATTTTTTAAAATTTGTCCGCCATATTAGATCCGCCATTTTGAATTTTGAAAATCTGCCTTCAGATTCGTAATCAGCGACCTCGAAAATATAAGAAACCATGTTTTAAGGTATACATTAATTTTATCAAATTTCGTTACAATCAAATTCAACCGAAAAAGTGGTGCGTTTTTTTATGTAAATTTGTTAATAACAAAAAAAATTATAAAAAATATTGCTAAATATGCTACTTGATTATCAAGTTTGAACTTTAGCAACATAAAAAAGAAAAAAATGCAAGTTTTTGCAGTTATACTAAAAGTTACAATGAAGGAAAGAAGACTCAAAAGGTGGTCAATATTAAATATATCGCCATCTGGGACTGAAAGGGTTAACGGTAGTGGAGCCCCCCGCAGAGGGGCGGAACCTACTGCCTCCACAAATACACTTTCCACAGTTGCACTAGTGCAACATTACTTTATGGGCGTACCAAATTGTCCTGTCGACAACTGAGGATCTTTTACTGGTATGGATCGTTAGTTCTATATATACTTTATTACTCTCGTAGTAAAATATAGATCCCACCGTCTTTTTTTGTTTACGTGGAGGAGGGGAAAATGCCACGCGCATTCCTGACCCCGGCCGTCAGGATATGTGGGGCTTGCACCCACCAAAAACCCCTTTTCCTAACATTTACCACATCGGACCACAGTCACGCCACACGGAAGACAGAGGTATAACATCATGTGACGAGACTTTCCTTGCGCCAGGAAACACGTAATTAGTCAACAAAGGACACACGAGAGGTCAACAGGGGAGGGGGGGCACTTTATCTCCAGAAAGAAGCGAACCCCAGTCGAAATGGCCAACACACCCGGAACCAATGATGCGAAAGGCTCATGCCTTCAAACATCTAGGGCCTACAGCGCCGGCATCCGACCGCCTCAGTGAGCTCCCATGATAATAACTGCGGGAGATCCCACCGTTCTAGGCCAAGTATAACGAAGCGTTTTTTTTTCCGAAAACAACATTGCGTCTTCGACTTAGATAACCACGAGGCCAAAAATCGCCAGAGGAACGTGCTCGAAAAACAAAATTAGAATTATTATTTTTTTTTCGTAAATACGTGTTGATTCCTTTAGTTAGAGAGTAAATGAATATGAAAAATGATTGCGGGAGTTATTTTAACCCTCAAAGGACTACGTCGGGTCGTTTTCGTCCACCCGAAAAATACGATCCTGAATATCTTTTGAATCCGGAACAGTGACGACATCTATTGTGTACGTAAAAAAACTTTAGGGTAGGAGGGTCTTTCACGGGCAAGGACATCTTGGTCTGTCAATTTGTCTCCGGATGCCAGCGAGAACAAATCTCAAAAGGTCGAAAAGAACCCGACGGAGTCTTTTACGTAAGCAGAGAGAAACCTGAGAGAGGCCATCCCGGCGTTTTTCGTCAATTTT